ATCCATGTCGGATCTCTTTATCGCGATGACTTAAGAACACCGCGCACAAATAATATATTGACTATAGTGAACCAACTTACATGATAAAATGTAAAAATATTGTTATGAAAACATCCGAGTCGTCTCTCTATTCGTTTTTTTCTCTCTTTACGTTCGTTCGTTCATTGGATTCTATTATAGCTGCGGCCGTCAACATGCATTTAGTAGATGTAAACATAGAAAAAATGCTGAATAATAAATAGAAGCGAATCATAAAAAAAAAATTTTTTGTATCATAGCATGTATCAGTTAATTTGAAAATGGGAAATGCACCCCATGCCTCAGTGTGTACAATTCACATATGTCCGGCATTGGTCAAGCGTGTATAACTTAGCATAACAGAGGCGTTGGTTTTTCCATCAAACATATCTAATTCAGTCTTAAATACGCGTTTTATTGGTTTGATGTGACCGCAGCAGCAGCAGATGAGCACAAGATCATCACACGTCAAACGGCTCACATATTTAACATACACATACAAATGCAGACCATTCGATTGCACCTATTAAAAACAAAAAACAAAATATGAAAATATTATAAATAGTTGTGAGCGTCATTCAAAAGTGTACTCATATCGATCACACACAAATTCATAAAGGCTGTATGCTTGTTGGAAAGTCGTTTAAACATTCAAGAGAATGAAAACAATAAATGAACGAGAGCGAGAGGTGCAAGCAAAACGATAGGAAAAAAAATGAAACAGAAACCATCCGAAGAAATGTATACAAACATAATTGTATTTTTACGAGGCATTTCGGCACATAAAAAGATTATTGTTATTAGCATTATATCACCTCGAAGAGAAGAAAACGGAAAGAATATACCGCGCGCGCACACACACACACAAACACACAATAGCCACAACTAGCCGAAAAGAAAGAATGAAAAAGAACAGTGCGGCAACTGACTGTTGAGAGTTGTACTGTGATCATCGCGACTTCAATGCGAAAAAGCAGGATAGCCTGAAAACGAGAGAGAGAGAAAAAGAAGAAGCAAAATGCGATGAAGAAAATAATTAATGTTTGATCATTTAACATTTTTCGTTTGAAGCTGGTTATTGGGCTCGTTATTGTTGTGTTATTATTGTTGGCCGCAATGAAAACGCAATGCGCTCTGCTTCGGTTTTTTTTTATATGATTATATAATGGCATTTATTATAAGCATAAAGATGCATGATATGCGGCAAAATTGATAACAAAAAAGCCGGCGAAATATAAACTCTCACACAACGCATTAAAACATATAAATTTGTACAATCTCGCACCTCGTCAATTTTTACATCAAAATGATCAATGCGAGAACACAAAACGAACGAATATGATGTGGAATATTACAAGAGGTGCGACAGAGAGGCCGCTCCACAATGCCTTTTGGTACAGAGAGACGTCCGCGTTGTACACGTATGAACATCGTCAAACGGGCCACATATATTCAAAAGCTGGCTTCGATAAAAAAAAGGAAGAAGAGAGGAAAAAATGTGTGTTTTAGCTATCGATTTAAGATCGCAATTGAGTACTGTGCACACATAATACACTGACGGTATTATGCGCGCAAAGGGCAAACAACAAACCACTTTTTTCCAGATCATTCTCACTCTGTCTCGTTCTCTTGTCGAGAGAATTTCACGCATTCAAATGTGCGCACACAACGGAGATGTGGCAAATCAACGGCAAATTTTTTAAAAGGACGTTGAGAACAGAAAAGATGGTGAAAAAAGGCTGCATACGAAATTGGACAGAGTAATAAACGTTAATCATGGTACGTAGGGATTTTTCTGTTTTGAATCGAGTATGCGCTCGCGCTCGCGCTCAATACTCTGATTATAACGATGAGACAATGCAAAGAGCAAAAGATGGAAACAATTCGAAAATTGCGCATCAAAGTCAACGGCAAATGATAAAAAAAACATACCAGACCAATTGCATTTTCGGCTTATTTTATCATTTTTTATTTTCGCTCTTGTTACCGCACGTATTTCATTTATTGTGCTGTCGTTTGTTTTTCAACCATTATTACAACTTTTGCTTGTTTATCGCTTGCTTGCTTTCATTTTGAAGATGCATTTTTTATGATTGCATTGCCAAACATACAAATTGTCTTCACATTAAATCGCTCTATTTTGCATAATTTTTCGGACACACTTGAATTTCAAATAAATGGGTTTTGGGTTTCATAATATCATGCTAATTACTGACTACGTCACTGGCTACTTTGTATATCATTGAATGAAGAAATAAATGGTTTATCAAATACGAATGACGGAAGATTTTCCCGAACGATTTTTTTCGAGGAAGTTTCGAGGTATTTGAGGCGTTTATCCAAATAGACTAAGCCTTTGTTTAATTTGAAACGACATCAAGCGATTACCACAATGAATTAAATTCCGCCTCAAAAATGATGAAAAGACGAAGGCGCAAGCAAGCCAATAATTCCTCTGTCAATACCCAAATGATTTCTTAATGAAGTTTATTCGTTTCTCTTTCAACAAGCCACAGTATTGGTTTATTCCGTTATTCTTGTAATTATAATTGGCTAAGCTTATAATTTGTTTGATTTTTTTTTTTTTGAACGGCGAATGGAAATCAATTTCGAGAAATAATCTCTTCAATAATGTGTCAGTCCATTTCAAATACTGAATACATTTTAATTTTGAGAATTAAAAACATGCATGGAGATAATGTTGTGTGTCAAATTGAGGATAAAAAAAAAATCAAAGGTCATTGGCCAATTGATTTTTCAATTTTAAGTATTGTTTTGATGAATAAATATTAATCTAGTGAACAAAACATTTAAATACTTGTAATTCCATTAGAGAAACAAACCGAGCTATGGATGAAAGAAACCGAAAAACTAAAAGCCTCTAAACTAAAAGAGACTGGGCGTATTTTATTTAAAATTTATCATCATAATGCTTTTCTATTTTGACATTATAACGCCGTGGACGATGTATTATCGTTGTATTTTACCTTCAAATCAGTTTACCACCATTAATAGATTTTGTGATCAAAGATCTTTCGATCTGTTTATTCAATTTTAATTATGAGAACAATGGGGTGAATGTTAAGCAAATTAAAAAGTTTTATACACAAAACCAGTTTCGTCAATTGTTTCTGCGATGGAAAAAACTGAAATTTAAATAATATGAGCCATAAACGTAGTTCAAGCACATATAAATCAGATGGAAGTTAGATAATACTATTTATTGTGCGAAACGATTTAAAAGTAGAAAATAGTGGCTTTTGAGAAAATTGCTATTTAAATAAAGAGTTGTTATTTTCATTCAATCTTATCACAATCTTTGATCGTCAAATACGAGCTATCTGTGAATCGAATCAATAATTCACTTTTGCATGTAATTTCTTTTTTACTGCAAATTAAAGACTACATAATTTATATACTGTGTATGTTCACAATGCGACCTGAATAAAAACAGTCCTTTGGGGTAGTATTTAGTCTGAGTTGTTGCATGTGAAATTAGCAAAAAATTCATGCATGATTGCACTTAAATTACTTTATTTTGTCACGATTGCGTATCATCGGACACAAACCTGTGAAGTCATCTAAAAATTGTGAATGAATATTTTATAAATATTATTTATCGAGTTTGAGGTTGTATACTTCTTGGCCACTTTCAACATGACAAAAAAACAGAGGCAAACACCCGACAACATGCACATTTATATATGCTTAATTCAAATTGAAACTAAGTAAATATTTTACTATGTTCGATTATCTTTCTTCTTGCCCACCAGAAATGAGTTCCATTTTTCATGCGCCAACCAAATATTTTGATATTATTTACATACACACATCGCACGTAACGAAAACCACAACAATTTTTATACAAGCACGAGACAACGGAACTGGTACCACGCCTTGTTTGCATTTGGCTTTCTCTCCGCTGCATGTGCTTTCGTCGCTATTCCTACCGAATACACAGATAATCGAAGAAGCACCGCCCAAATCCACTGCGTATCGCGACCTAATTTATAAATATGTACTTGGGATTATATTCTCGTTATTATACCGAATATATCGCAACGGTTAATAACATTGGATATACTATGCCAATCTTTTAAGAAGAATATACAAATTGATTGTTTTTTTTTGCACGAGAGAAAAAATGCTTCAAATACATTTTAATTTTATTTTATTATTTATGACACAATTTACGGATTATTTTGTAGTTTTTTTTATGTATTCATCAAAGAACATATAGCATTGTAATGTATTTAGGATTTATTATCAGAACAATACTCGATATTAATTTTTTTTTCGTTTTATCAGAAGTGCAGATTTTAAAATTGGTAAAAATGTAAAAAAAAATTACTAAAAATTCGAAGTTATTCTTTATTTTTCATTGAATTTTCCTCAAATTTGTTTAGCTTATGTATTTTGATAAGAAAATAGGATTCACAAGTTTTTACAGTGATAACACCACAGCAAATATACATTTTGGGAAGAGATCTAATGAATTTCGACTCAAGAAAATGCAATAAATCAATGTTTGTTGTAATTTAATCACAGTAAAAACACGTGAATCTTTTTTCTTAACGAAATACATAATTGAAGAAATTCCAAATAAATATAGGGATACCTCCCATACAACATTTTCGATTTTTTCGTCGAAATTCCTTCAAACTTTCAGAACATTTTTTTTTGTAGAAAAAATAACCCGTGCAAAGTTACACATCACTATGATATTATACATTATTTACTTACACTTAGTACCAATTGACACAACATTTTTTATTATAAAAGAATTAACCAAAATTTATACACAAAAAATAAAACACAAGGAAAAAACATGTATTTTTTTCTTCTTCTCTGTCTTTTTCTTATGAATATATTTTATTTCTTTATAGAATTGATAACTACTTATTTATTTATCATATATAATTTATAATTAGGAAAATTGTATATTTTTCATTTTGTATGAATATTTATCTTTTTTTGAACACCCGTCCAACAAATATTTACAATAAAACTCAAACTCTATTTGAAATATAACTATAGAATTTATAGACGCTAATATAATTTGACATGATAGGATTACATTAAATTTGCTACAATAATTTAGCAAATAAATATAAATTAAATTGAACGGACGGGAGCACGCCGACGATAAAAGAACAATGTGAATAATGTAAGTACACCCAGAATAGCAGCTCCACCACATGCACGAGCCAACACGTTTTTATAGTAATCGGGACAAGTTGCTCGGTCTTTACATTTACTGGAAATAGATAAGAAATATCGAAATGAGAATATCCTAAAAAAAATCGCAAGATATTTTTCAAAAGAAGTATGAAACATAATTCAATAAAATAATGTGACTCAAAGTTAAAAAAAAATAGCTAACTGCTTAAAATCGTTAGAAATTAATGCAATCAATCGAACCATTTCCACACTTACAATGATTCAATGACCAAAACGGCAACACCTGTAATCAATTTATCGGCAAATGTAACGGCTGAATAAATGAATCCACTCTGTTCTGCATGCTTGCCAATCATATTAGCAATTAGACATAAGCTGGATATCATCGTAATGGAACTGCCGGCACCAAATAACGTTGCGATGCTATACAGACGTGCGTTGGACAATTTGATTGAAATACTTGTTTCGACAAGAAAACAACCAAAAATGCAGGCCAATGAACCCAACAAATACAATGACTTATGACCGAGCACATGATGTGATTTATCCATCAAAAGTGACGATACAAACGATGCCAAATATTGAACCATGGGCACAATGGCAATGTGTTCAACTTCATGTCTTGTGTCAATGCGTTCCGTAAGACCCGGCACTTTTGATATTTGTACCTAAGGGGATAATCGAAAATAATCAACAAATAATAATAACGTAATAATATATAATATTTGTACCAGTCGATCGTTCAACCACAATGGAATGTAAACTAATGCTGTCGTAGTAAAAATTCGCGAAAAAACGTAAAGCAATCCATTTTGATAAATTTTTATAGATTTGAAAAAATTTTTGGGGCGACGTTGAGGTGGTGCATGCATTGTTATGGGTTGTCCATCAGGATCGTTTGAATCGCTTAGTCGCCGATACGATGAACGCGATTCTAGTGATGCTCGACGGTTATTGTATGCTTGCAATCGACGTAAACCATAACCACTGAATGTTAGTGAAAATTGAAACACAACCGTCGTACACAAACCAATAAATGTAAGAATCAATGAAATATCCTGGTGAAGAAGAAATAAATAAAAACCTACAATATTAGTTATTAAAAATCGCAGTTTGTTACTCACTCGAAAGCGGTACGCATCTTTTTCGGTGATTTTTGCTTCATCCGATGTACGGTTTGAACGTAATACGACCCATGTGACAATGAATACAATCACATTGGCTATAACCGATGCCGAATAACGCACTGACGTCAATTGAGTTCGATCTTTTTGTGTACGCGCCATTTCCGGAATAATAGCCAAATGTGAAACCTGTACAATTGGCCAACCGATTTGGAATAATAGAATGACAACCGAAAAGTAAAGCACATGCCACCACGATGGCCATACACTGCACATTGGGCACAGCGAAAATATCATCGGAAATGTGATAAATACGAGAAACGTTCCTGTGAAATAGATTAAAATATGAACATTTCAATTCGTTATGAGATTCACATTTTTTTATCTTACCAAATATATGCCATCTTTGTTTAGTCCCAAATTTATCCACCAAAAACCCAACGATCGGGGTGGCTAACGCATCGCCAACTTGACCCAACATCATCATTGCGCCCGACTCTGTGCCGGACATTCGTAGTGCACCTTTCATAAACAACAATAAGTAGCTAAACCATACACCAGCACAGAGATCATTGAATATATGACCAAAACCAAAACCAATTTTTGACCACGTTGAAATTGTCGATACCATTTGATCGGAACTTGATTGAATTGTAGACGTTGACAGAACGGATTGTGATATTAACGGTGCCGTTTCGATTCGATGCAATGGTGGTGTACTTGGACGTATATTATCGAAATTATGCGTTGAAGTTCTTCGAAGGATAGCACCGTAACCAGAGTTTTGATTGTCCTGTACTATTGCCGCTGATTCGTTTTGAGACATATTTACTAATCCTCGGGGTACTTGGCACTGTCGTGACGATTTGTTTTTAGTGCTGCTAAGCGTGGGCTGGAAAAACCTATGTAAATTACTTATAAACGAGTGAGACTCAAACATGCGCTTCTTCTTCAAACAATTGACGTGTTTGAAATGTCAAATTGAACATTGCTGTCAACTTAACCATAAAAAAATTTGTTTGTGCAATCTTCTATAGTTCATAATTCAAATTAAACAAGAAATTGAAATCTATACAAATATAATAACTAAACTAAAAATTAGAAAGAAAATGAAAAATTATTTTTGAACATAGCTATTTCAACTAAACATTTTTTTCAGTTTCTGTCGGCTTGTTATCTATCAGCTAAACGTTCAACTTGGTTCAATATTATCACAATAAAAAAATAAAGAGTCTTACGGGAGTAAGACGAACTTTTCCGCGCGGTGGTAGTTGCGTATTTTATTAGGCTAGTTCAAAATAATACTTGTTTGATTTTTCAAGCCTTTCAAGCGGCGTAAAGTTCGAGACCAAAAGATGTGTTCGGCATCGAAATATTCTTTAATTTACTACCAGCAGAAGTAGTCGCAAAAGATTTTTCACACTTTCATGATGAACCCATTTGTACGAAATTTGAAAGTATTCTATTTTCTAACACTTTTCATAACTAAAGTCACAAAAAATTTGGATTTTTGTATGGGAGCCATGTCTGTATGCTACCTTAATGGTGTGAAACTTTGCACAGGTTATTTTTTTCACAAGAAAAATAACATTCGGAGGGTTTGGAGAAATTTAAACCAAAATTAAGAGTACCTCCCATACAAAATATTCGTTTTTGATGGGAGGTACCCCTAATTTTGATTGAAATCTCTTCAAACTTTCAGAATGTTATTTTTTTTTGTATAAAAAATAAGCGGTGCAAAGTTTCACGTCATTAAGGTAGCATATAGGCATGGCTTCCATACAAAAATTCAATTTTTTTGCGGTTTTTTCAAGGAAACTGTATCAAAAATTGATTGTATCTCAAAACTACCTCGGATTCGGTTTTCTCGTGCAAAAAAACCCCCGAATACATATTTTTGAGGGTTTAAGTCTACATTAAGTATGACTTTTGGACGAAAATTGGACTCTTTTTCATAGGTATCACTCCAGGCATGACATTTCTTTCCATCAACCAAAGTCGCTCAAAATCTAATGATTTCTATTCCTCGCGACCCCCAATCATCCTGTACAGTCAGATTTTAAATAACTTTTCTGGGGGTTGAGATAATCGATGGACAAATTTTGCGTACGGCGGACAACGTGCAATACTTTCCCCTTACACACTAGGTGTGTGCGGAAAAGTAAAATGTGTTTTTGTCGGTCGTTGTCGGCTCGAAAAAATATTGTTTTCCTACTTTCATAAATTACTTAATATTGTCATCAATGTAATTATGATTATTTTTCACTTTTCACATTTGTTTCATATTTTAAACATCAACTAAATTTTCTAATTGTAGTAAACCTAGGGGCGTATTACTGATTAAGTTTTTACACATTTGCATAAAATTTGCAAGTTTAAACGAGTTTCAATGAGTTTCAAATGTTTAGTACAAGTAATGGCCAGTATAGGTGAGTTTTGCTAAGTTTTGATATCTGTATTACCGACGATGAATGACAATCTAGATGACAATTTATGAATTCGGACTCTTTTTAAAATCGGTTTATTTTCGAAGTTTTATCGAACCATTTTTGCTAGGGGCGCATTACTGATTAAGTTTTTACAAGTTTACATAAAATGTCAACCTTTCCACGAGTTTTATCCTTTTTTCACGCTTCACAGACCCAGTTTTTGATGTTATGAATGTATGAAACTGGCCGCCATGTTTGTTCGGTCTGTTTTTCTGTCAAATGAAAAACGCCAAAAAAACAAATCAAATTCAAAAAAAGAGCCCGATTTAAAGAAAAAAGATATTTAATAGGATATTTATGTTCAGATACTATACTACTTTTAACTATTTTTAACTTATTTTATTTATAATTGACGAATATATATTCTTCTTTTTTTCCTTTTGTTAATTTTTATATTTCTTTAATTTCTATTTAGAAACAACTTGTGTTATTCTTCTAGTTATTCAAGTATGTTGTATTGTCAAGTTATTTCTAGATAGAAATGAAAGATATATAGAAATTAAAAAAAAAGAAAAATATAAATTCATTCGTCAAATAAATTGATACTAAAATATAATATTTGAACATAAATCAAATATGTTTTTTCCAAAATCGGGCTCTTTTTTTGAATTCAGTCTGTTTTTTTGGCGTTTATTATTTGACAGAAAAACAGAACGAACGAATATGGCGGCGAGTTTCATTCATGATTTATGGTGCAAGTATGGTGAGTATTTGCAAGTTATTTCAAGTTTACGAAAGTTTTGAATATTTAAAACAAGTTAAAGTACAAAATGTCTGAGTAAACAAGTAGTAATACGCCCCTAGTAGTAAACATATGACATAATTTTTGTGGAGGTTTCAGTTTTATAGCTCGCCTGATGATGGAAACATTATTTCCGGAAACGTTAGCATTTTATAAATAAAATAACGTTAAATTTGTATCAGAATAAGAAGTTTTCTTCACGTATTTTTTCACGAGAGATGAGCAAAGTCAATAAGATTGTATTGTGAAGTCACATATCTTACAGAAAAACGCCATCTGTGTAAAACAGGCTTACTACAATGTAAAAGTATAGCGAGGGGAAGGAGATGAAGAAGAAGGGGAAACAGATATATGTTTGATTTACATTGTAGTCAGCGTGTTTTACGTAGATGGTGTTATAAGTATCTGTCCAAATTGCGCTTGCCCTTTGTTTTTTCATTCCTACTTTCGTTGAAATTCTATAAATTGATGATGACAAAATAAAAAAGGGTGAACCACATGTGACCTGGTCACATGTGATCTAGAAGTTGGGCACAAATGGGGTTAATATGCACACAAAAAAGACCTAACCTCAATATGAGACGATTTGACATAAAACTCAGTTTATCCGAAGTCTCATTTATCTAAATATATAAAAGCGAATGTATGTATGTATGTATGTCTGTGTGTTCCGGGCTGGCGCCCAAACGCCTCAACCGATCCGAATAAAAGTGGTACCGTTAGAAAGGTCTCGTTTTCAACTGTCTTTTCTGCTGCTATATGGCATGCTTATATGAAACTCTCGGAGACTCGGTATAACGCACAAAAAAATTGAAAAAAAAAATTGTTTACTCGAATTTATCCAAAAATAAATGAGACTTCGGATAAACTGAATTTTATGTCAAATCGTCTCATTTTGAGGTTAGGTGTTTTTTCAGTGTGTATTTTCTCAGAGATTGATGTCTGTAAACGGACTCATTAATTGTTGGAATCGGTTGAAAAATGAACACCCCTCAAAGACATGTTTTCTGGGTGTTTTAGGGGCCAGGGAACACGAATCTAGCATTTTTTCGATGTCCGAATGTATGTGCTTACCATATACGCAAAAATTTGTTAACACGATTACTTTCAAACAAGAAAAGTAATTCAAAATCTGACTTCACAGGATGATTGGGAGTGCCGAGGAATAGAAACCATTAGATTTTGAGCGACTTTGGTTGATAGAGTGACGTGTCATGTCTGGTGTGATGCCCATTGGCATCCATGGAGAAAATTCAATTTTTCTTCCAAAAGTGATATTTAATGTATTCTTAAACACTCAAAAATATGTATTGGGGGGTTTTTGGGTATGAGAAAACCGAATATGACGTTAGTTTTGCGATACAAATAATTTTGGACACACTTTTTATACAAAAATTTCAAAAAATTGAATTTTTGTATGGAAGCCATGTCTGTATGATATCGTAATGAGCTGAAACTTTGCACCGCTTATTTTTTTCACACAAAAATAATATACCGAGAGTTTGAAGTAATTTCAATGCATATTAGGGGTACCTAAAAACCGAAAATTTTGTATGGAAGGTACCACTTAATTGTATTTAAATTTCTTCAAACTTTCAGAATTTTAGCTTTTTGTGCAAATTTTCACATGATTACGATATCATACAGGTCTTGAAAAGTCTATCAAAAATGATTTGTATCGCAAAACTTATATCAGATTCAGTTTTCTCATGAATTCATATTTACGGTAAAAGATACGTAATAAATGCATGTTGTGGATCACAGTGCGGAAAAGTTCATCTTACGGATGTAAGACATTTTATTTCTCTTTGTTTTAATTAAATAAATATCTAGGGGCTTTCATCTATTCGTTCATACAAATTTTATTCACGTCCTATTCATCATATATATACGATTAAAATTTCTCGCCTATACCAGTGAATAAGATGTATGTGTGATTTTGCAACATAGTTCACTATTTACAGTATAAATCGTAAACATTTGAAGATAAAGGCATATGATACATACCACAAATATAAAAAAATATCAATGAAACAGATGAAAAAAACTTTCAAAAGTTCGTATGTAGTGAATTAATGTCAGTCTCTGGACAAAAAAAACTATATTATAACAAAATGATGTATAGTACACTGTACAGTTTGTGTGTTCCAAGTTACTAAACTGGCATGTTGATTTGTGAGCGAACGAACGTTTGTTTCACTAAACATCACTCACTTTAATTCGACATAGATCGGCATTTCTCTGTAAGATTCGTTGCTGATACACAAGTACAATCACAAGCGTCGAAAGAACCGTGTAAAAGAACGTATCGGACGAGGAGAGCGAATGAAAGAGAGCAAAATACACAAATACATACAAATGTCGCTTTCGTTGTTAATATATTAATTTCGTTGTTAATTATTTTTTGATTTAGTTCTCTGTGAGTTTGATAACAACCGATTCGACGAACAATACACTTTATTTTCAGCGGAAAATGATTTCAAGTACAATAACCGCGGCAAAAGTGATTGTGTCAGATGACAAAATTTTATATTATTGATATTGCATTCTGACCTTCGCTATTTATTTCACACTCAATGAATATGTTCATAAATAATGATACGATGATCAACGGATGAAAAGGCTTTTATCACTATTTAACGAATGAAAACACTTATCACCATATTTAATTGTAAATCAAACTAGAATCGTATCGGAGAAGAAATTATGCAACAAATTCAATGTGTCATTAACAGTAAGAATACAATCTGATTTCATCAGACATGCAGTAATGATGATTCAAAATACATTTTCAATTTATCTTTTTATTTCACAGATTGAGAACAGACGATTGTTTATTTTATTTTTTCGAAATAAATGTGCGTATGTAAAACAGATTTTTTTTCACCAGATAATTAGAGTGACAAGTAAGGCTAATGAACCACGATGAATCCATAGTAATGTTTGGATACGTGTGTACGTAAACAGTGGACAACACTGAAAATACGAAGAATGTTCAAAGACAAGACTGCATTAACTAAGGTTGTTCTGTATTTTATTAAATATGTGCCGCAAATTGTAACATAATCTATGTTCATTTTCGATTCTCCTACGTCATGTTTAGCTTTAAATTGGATTAATATCGGACATAGAGAAAAACATTAAGATTTACTACTACATTTTTAAGAAACGTCAAAGCACAACCACTATTGTGTTTTTTCCCACTCATTTTTTTTATTCAATTGTCAATGTGTATGCTGCGCGCATGTATAGAAGGATCTTTTACTCATGGTCAGAGAGAAAAAACACAACAGTTGTTTTGTTTTGAAGTTTCTCAAAAATGTAGTAATAAATCTTAATGTTTTTCTGTATGTGCGCTGGTTCATCAAAATGAATTTAGCGTTTCAAAACTTTGCATTGTGTTGACAGTTCATATTATTGACAACAGAGTGAGCCCAATTCCGAATATACAAAACCTTTATCAGAGAAGCAGCTTTTTATGAAGAAATTTTTAAATGAAACAAATTCAGAGGATGTTTTATAATGCTTCCATTCATAAGGCAGAAAATTACGGGCAATTTTCCGTTACGCATAATAAGAATATTACTTCCACTATCCCCGCTGATTTTTTCCATGGTATGGTGTAGGGAACTGGCGAATTATGACTAATCTAATATTTTTTTGTATAATACCGTAATGATGTGTAACTTTGCACGGGCTATTTTTTCTACAATTTTTTTTATATATTTATATTTTGTCTACATTTTTGGTGATTTTTTAAGAATTTGAAATCTGTTTGAAAAGTGTACCAAAAATGTGTTGTATTGCAAAACTAACATCTTATTCAGTTTTCTTGTGTCAAAAAATCCCATTTGATCTTATTTACAATAACAAAAGTTTGAATACATAAAGCAAGCCGAAAACGCTTATTATTACTATGCATCTGCCCGTTCAGTGCATACAGCGACACCTCTTGGATCAATTTGTATTTAGTATGTTTAGTGCGTAAATTACGCTGTTGTGAAATAAACAAACACTTCTTTTTTCTGTGTTGAAAAAAGTTCTTTTTTTATTTAATTAAGTTTAAAAACTGTATTACAAAGATCAAAAAAATGAAATGTACATTTTAAATTAAAAAAATGAAATGTACATTTTAAATTTAAAAAATGTCACATAAAAACTCAATCGGTTGTATCCGCAACGGAACTTTTCAAACGGTTCACATTCAAAACTCGAAAGTCTCGTAGTGTTTGACAGTTCTCATATTTTTTCTCTCTTCCAATGCAGCCATTGGTATAATTGAACGCAATATTTGTTTGTGTATAGATGGAGAAACATAAGTTCACAAATGCGTAAAAAAAAACATTCCGAAAAATTTGCGAACAAGTGAAAGTTTAAATAATGAAATATTGATAAAAGATTCGATAAAAAGTGAAGATTGAATAAAATTTGAAGAAAATTCTGTAAAAATAATTGGTAAAAGATGGGTCGAAAAGCAAAAGAAGCGGCAACAAAAAAAATTGGCGAGTGGACGAATAGTCGACGCAATATGTCAAAAACAACAACAAAGAATGAAAATACCAACGCATCAAATGAAAGTCGTACACCACTCCAAACACAATCCCAAAGCGATCTAAATGCCATGAAAAATTGTAGCGTTCGCTTAGAAAAAATTCGAATGGATCCAAAAATAACTGATACCGTAATTAAAACACCGGTAAAGAAAATTCCAGCTACTCATGTTATGACCAAGGACAAGGCAGCTAAACAACAAAATGTATACGATTATTCATTTGATGGAGAGGATACACCAGGGCCGATGAAGGAAATCGAAGACCAAATGAAAGATTTATTCGATAAATTGGCCAAAGATAATATTATCGAAGTGAAAAAGTATCGCCCGAAAAATGTGAAGAAAACAAAAACCGATGAAAAAAATCCGGTTAAGAAGGCAGTCACACAAAAGCGACGCCGTGATAAACAGCCAGTTGATGTTGAACCACCACAAAAGAAACCTAATCTTAAACGTAAAGTGGTTAATGTTCCGATCAAATCAACGGCCAATCCAACTGTTGTACCTTCAAAAGGTAGCGGTGATGATGTACGTGGACAAGTGAACGCAATCAACACTGTGAATGCAAAACTACGAAATCCAAATCTTCAACGTTTACAGTCCACACCAAAAACATCAACACCACTTGGCACAAAAGCAAATGCAATGGGAAAACAAAATAATGGCTCATTAAATTCGATATTTTTTGAAAATGCATCGCCACTTGTGGGCCGATCGACTCGAGGTAATATCCAGAAACAACGTTTACAGTTGTCAGCCATTAATGACAGTCAAGAAAATGTGCCAAAAACGGGCCAGAATGAAGACAATGAAAACGTACCACAGTACAACTACAACGATGATAATGATTTTGATGTTGGTAACAATGGCGTGAACGAACCAGATCATGATGTTGACAAGGAAAATTCATTGGATCGCCCAAGTACCAGTGCACAAAGTCGACCCACTAACAGTTCAGTCGCTTCACATTTGTGGGATCAACCAAGCACAAGTGCGGCTGCATTACGGTCATTGGACAAACCGGCAAATAGTGCATCAATTGATAAAAATCAGCCTGGAACTAGTTCGGGCATTTTACGATCACTGGATCGTCCAACCACCAGTTCGGCATCTACATCAAATGAATGGGATCAACCAAGCACAAGTGCGGCTGCTTTACGATTATTGGACAAACCGGGAAAGAGTGCATCAATTGATAAAAATCAACCTGGAACCAGTTCGGGCATTTTACGACCACTGAATCGTCCGAGCACCAGTTCGGCATCTACATCAAATGGATGGTATCAGCCAAGTATAAGTGCACAAGCTGCACGAACTCCACTCAAAAATAGCAATGACAACAGCGTTTTCGAAATATCAAGCGAATACAACATTTTTTCACCAACCAAACGTCGTGTTTATGGCCGCAGCCCATTGAAAAATATCGTAAGTATTTTCAGTGCATCGTAAAATTATGTTTAACTTACTAAAATATCATTTTTTTCATGTTTCAGACGAGTGAAGTGAACAACACAAATTCACCAAGTTTTGAATCGGTAAAATCGACAACATCGGCAGCGCGAAGTTTTGGTGTACTTCCCAAATCGACATTGAATTCAATTCAAACAAGTGTCAACTCAACAAAAGACTCTAGCGTTACACTCCCAGAAGCATCATATTTTTCATCGCGACGTGCCGCTCAAGTGTTCGATCGAAATGTTGACAGCCACAGTTTTGCCGACGATTGTTTTGGTTTTGACGATGATGATGAAGAAGAAATTATCAATGAAACTACAAACAAAGAATCGGAATGTGCCAAAACCACAACCAACACCACCGCCGGCTCAAAGTCAGAAGCTGAAAAGTCGGCACTCGATGAAATTCGCGCAAAATTAAAACGTTTTCTGCACAAACCAGATGTCGACAAAGATGAAAGCATAAAAAAGACAAAAGTCACAAGCAAACAAGCCACAGCCGATAAAACTAAAGCGAAACATGTCAGAAGCCCAGCAAAGAGTCCAGCTAAAGTGGTAAAAAGTCCAGTAAAGCAGAAACGAAATGTTGTCTTTGGCGATACTGGCGCTATACAAAAAGACATTCGAACCGCATTCGCGGTCAAACCAAGTGATAAACGCAAAAAAGACAACTCCAAAGATCCAGTAACCTTATTCGAAGAGGTTGATACGGTAAGCTTAACATTTTAGATAACATTTTGTGTCAATTATTTTACATGACATTTTTTTGGGTTTTTTCAATAGGTTCAAGACAGACGACGAAGTTACAGTCGCCCACAAAGACAGCGCAAACGACGAATCTCAATTGAATCGGAAGAATCGGAAGAAGAGGAACACAGTGACGATGAAGACTTTGACGATATTGGAAAGCCTTCGAAACGGGCCAAGCGTCGCAAGAAAACAACAGAACCAAATCCAAAAGTAAGAATTTTTTATTCAAAGGCAAACAACATTTTCCCCAAATACTAAGAGTACGACTATATTTAGAACGTTTCATTGTTACACAATGACAAGCTACCATTACTTTAATTCACATGATATATTTTATCGGCATGAATAAGATTTTGTAAAGAGAAGCAGCAGAAAGAGCTATTCATCGTTTACATTAAAGTAAAATTCGTTGATTATTTATATAATGAAAACAAGCAATTGTTGTTGTTGTCGCTTCATACTATTCGTGGAACTGACTTCATGCGACAATCAAATTAACTTTCAATATTTACTTTGATTCGGTGGCATAGCTCAGACAATACAGCGGTTGTTCATGATTTTTCTAAGAAAAATCATCAAAGATTAAAACAAATATTAAATATTTACAAATTTTTATTTAATTCACAGGAACTGGAAGAATTGGAAGACTTCGCGCGCCAAACCAATGAGCACTTTGATGAAATCGACAGCTTTGAATTGGTCGTTGAATGAAATGGTTTTCATAGAAAATACAAACACACACAAATGGCTGGCTCAAACATTTAAAATGAATTTGATATCAATATATATTACATTATTATTATGATAAACATGAAACCCTTATAACTCTATATGCATCATAGTTGTCTAGTAGGTTAGTATACATGAATGAAAAAACAAACAAACTTTATAAAGTTTAAAATCTATATTCCATAAACATATCTCCACATTGAATGACATACACGATACCAGTTTGCTCCAGTGCATGACAGTTTATACACAATATAACTTACCATATGTTCTTCGTTTGGTGGTCTGGTATAGCTTACTTACGTTTTTTTTGTTTTGTAAAAAAATAGTCTTTAGTTGCTCATGCATAATCTTTATTCAAAATATCAACTATTTTTTGAGAGCATTCAAATTAAGTACAGAAATATAAAAAAACATTGCATCTTAAAAATCTAAACCATGAGTATTCTTATTTCGTAAATCTCTTTTTTATTATTGTCTTCTAAGAGAGATTCTTAAGAGAGTTCTTTATGTATAATAAAATCCCATGTATCTTTCCATCTGAGTGCGATTATATCGTCAGCCGTAACGGAGTGACCGTCAATTTGAAGCAGTCCGTATGTAAGTACAGAAAATCGTTGGAAGACATATAAAATACAGATGAACCAACAGCACATTCCAACGCCATAATAATAGCACATTTTCTCCGATCGAAAGAGTTGACGAATTACATAAAATATATGCTCAAACATAAAACACAATAACATAATCTTAAAGACTAAAGCCGGCAAATAATTGTGTAAAAATAAAGTTCGTTCGACAAAAAAGTACGGCAAAAAGTGAAGAAGATAGCCAGCAAATAGAACTTCACCGCACCGACAAAACTGTAACCAAGTTCGTTCGTCAATGTCATAGCAATGTCTACGTCGTCGTAGTAAATAAATACAGAGTAATATGCAGTAGAGTGATATAGCCGCTACACCCGAATACCATGTCGCAACATTGCCAAGCAAATGAATTTGTGCATTTGAATTTTTATCCACCCAGTATGCAATTCCTTTCGTCAAGAATGGCCAATCCAACGGACTCGAACTGTACATATGTGTTTGTACGGCTTCTGATGCCGATGGCCAAAGCATTTTGAATTGAATTTCCATAAACTTTTCCAGAAATGTTAGGCTCGTCGGTTTGGTTGGAATCATTTCGGCGCGCACCATTTGCCGTTCACGTTCACGTTGATCGGCCGTCTTTGTATACCGATGCTCTTCAACATTCCATACACAATCCATGTGCTCCAGATTTCGATCTGCGACTATTTCATGCTGATTAAAACCCCAATCTATATACGAAAAATTTAATGAGTTTAGAAAGTTACATTTTTTCAACTTTTTTTTTTATTTATAACCTGGTAATTGACGTCCACTGAAACGTAATGCAGCTCCGGTTGCAACATGAATTAAACGAACATGTGATTTAATGGTATGCCAATCGTTGCCCTCGCTTGCTTTATTCAAAATATCGACTTTCCATAGATTTTGTGCCGCCATTGATATGTTGTAATCAATGTAACAGGAAACTTCTTGACTTTGTGGTGTCACCGCCGCTGCTACCTGTAAAGTGTGAAAGAAAATACAATGCATTTTTTTTTGTTCGGCTGAAGAAAATGTGACGACATACATCGTGTGAGTTAAGCGCTCTTGACGTAATACCATGAATCAGTTGAATTTCATCGCCGTGTTTAATAACATCCACTTCTGTGCTTTCGACCACCAGATCATCTTTGCTAGCCCGCTTCACAATCCACCAATTGTTGACATCTTTAAAACTGTAACACGTCACTTGCTGTTGATGGCTGGAGCCTCTTTTATCGGGATATCGAACGGGGTAAAGGTGAGCATGTGAATGAAGCCAACACGTACGTCCGTGAGTGTGTCGCAATGTTATTTGTGAGCCGTGTGCAACATTAAGCGGTTGTCCTTTTGTAATCGATGCCAATCCACCTTCGAGTGATGCTTGAAATGCGCTCGTCATTGCACTGTCGTGAGGTCCGGCCTTACTCAACACAGCCAAATGAATCCAAAACACCGACAAGTATATGATGATTGGAACAACAACGAATACCAGCGAACGAAAGACCACTTGCAATGCAATCGAAACATTTGTATTTTGATGATTGCCCAACATTTTCCACACTTGCAATAATCCAATGAACATGCCCAATAAACATGAATAAATAGCAACATATTTGATACACAATGCACATGTGAAAAAAATCGCCGAAAAAATGCCATACACCAACATCGACACGATTAAATCGAAACGATCTGGCAGCGAAGTGATTTCGCCGAGTTTGTCATAACAGTCTTGGTATTTTAATAGCAATAAAATTGCAAGAATTGAGAACATCAACAGCATCGGTTCCATGAGAATGAATTGCGATTGGGTGACCAGTGCGTTTTCAATGATGATCAAAATTCCACCCAATGTTGCCGTCCATACACTCAATTTGAGTTGTCGTAGTAACTGGTATACGATTGGCACCAACAGGCTGCCGCACAGGGCCGGAACGAATCGGAGCCAAAAAATTGGCACGTTCTCTGTGTATTGGGCACCAATGTGTGAAAATGTATAATTGCCATTGTATCCAACAAAATTGGCGACCGCTGATATTAGCTGTTTGCCTAGTGGTGGATGTTGATCGAAGAAGAATGTTCGTTTTAAATACAGTGACACATATTTGCCATAGTGTAATTCATCGAAAACAATGTTGTTCGGTTCACTTAATCGATAGAATCGCGTACAAAGCGCTACAACAAACAATGTGATCGATATTAAATCGATTTCGAATGTTAATCGAAATTGATGGGGTATGGCAATTTCTGGTAAAGTTGAGATTTGATCGGCATTTGCTGGTGAATTTTGTTCATTCGGCTGAATATTTTGAATTTTTTGTTCCGAATCACTTTCATTTATGTCAGACGATGATGATTGATCATCGGTGTGTGGCCTAGATTTTTCTGTGATTTTTGACACATTCTTTGAATCACTACGATTTTTTCGCTTTCTCACTTCGGAATCCATGATAATACTAATTGTTCACAAATCACAACTTTTGCCAACCAACAACACCATCAGTGGTCATTATTTTCGAATTAGTAAAATGTATAAATTAAATGCGGACTGGAATGTATGTGATCACTGTGGAATTTTACATTGCGTATTTCTCAATATTTTGGCATTTAACGGTATATGTTCGTGTTGTTGACACTTGTACACATCAAAAAAAAAAAAAAAGAAACTTTTCCATTCTAATCTGTTGACATAAAGCGTAAACCAGTTTTGAATGCAATTGACGGTTGTGACGTAGTAGATAAATTTATTCTAAAAAAAATGTTTTTAGAGATTTTGGTGGATTTTTCTTGAGATTTTAATACAATTTTTTTTTGAAATATGGTTGAAACCACTAAAAATCTAAAAAAACGTCAATTATCTCAGCATATATTCAATTATTGTTGTATTTTTGGTGTAATTCCTTTTGTAAGCACTAGCGCCACCAATTTGACAGCTGAAAAGCATGTGGCATTCTCCATCAAAATGACAGCTTCACATTACGATACTTCGTTCAGTACGTATTATTATTTGGTACAAAGTTATTTTCTTTTATTTGTCATTAAATTGTTCGTCTGTTCTGCAACAAATTTATAGTTCATAAGCGTCCTTTTTGTGTTAAATCATCATGAAGAATCGATTTAATAGTTATGATGTTGCTTGCATCACAGCTGAACTCCAAAAGTAAGTTGATTTTATTCAAATTATGTTGTATTATCAAAAGTGCATTAACATTTTTTTTGCTTGGTTTATAGATTGGTTGGTTTGCGTGTGAATCAAATTTATGACATTGATAACAAAACCTACTTGATAAAATTACAAGATAAAGATGTAAAACAAACGCTTTTGTTTGAATCGGGCATTCGGTTTCATACGACGGCATTTGAATGGCCAAAGAATCCATCACCATCCGGATTTACCATGAAATTGCGTAAGCATTTGAAAAACAAACGTCTCGAAAGCTTACAGCAAATGGGCACCGATCGTATAATTGACTTTCAGTTTGGTATTGGTGATGCCACTTATCATCTGATTTTGGAATTGTATGATCGTGGTAATTTGATTTTGTGCGATCATGAAATGACCATTCTCAACGTATTGCGACCACACACTGAGGGCGAAGAAGTACGTTTTGTTGTCCGGGAAAAATATCCAGAGGCACGTGCACGTGTGAATGCAAATCGACCGAGCGATGAAATCATACGTGAGGTCTTAGGCAATGTGAAATCTGATGATTCTCTCAAACGAATTTTGACACCGATTTTAGGTATTTCTTAAGTTTTACTTTTTTTAATATTTTTTTACTAATTAATTAATTCCAATTGACAAAATAGATTGTGGTCCAACGGTTTTAACTCATGTTCTGATGAAGTATGATCTGGACAATTGCAAGGTGAAAGGTCATGGGAGCGATAAGGTTGCCGTTGAAGAAACACCAGTGAACGAGAATCAAAAGGGCAAAACGAAAAAAGGAAAACAACAAAAAGCTAAAGATAACAACAGTTCGGCGCGGTTCTTTGACGAAACAAAAGATTTTGATACGTTGGTAAAGGCATTGAATGAAGCGAATGACATCATGAAAACTGTTGATCGCAAAGATAATGAACCACATGGATTTATCATTCAAAAAACCGAAATGAAACCATCAAGCACCGAGGGTGCCGAACCGGAAGAATTCCATTATAACGTTGAATATCATCCGTATTTATTTGAACAGAATCGTACGTCCAAATACAAAGAATTTGCCACATTTGATGCGGCTGTCGATGAGTTCTATTCTACAATGGTTGGTCAAAAAATCGATTTGAAAACGTATCAACAGGAATGCGAAGCATTAAAAAAACTATCGAATGTGCGTAAAGATCATGAAAAACGGTTAGAAGAATTGAATAAAGCGCAGCTATTGAATAAACAACGTGCCGAGTTAATCACCCGAAATACGGAATTGATCAATAGCGTGTTGGTGACAATGCGCAGTGTAATTGCCAATCAAATGTCATGGGAGGATATAAAGGAATTTGTTAAAAATGCACAAGCAGCTGGTGACAAGGTGGCAAATAGCATCAAACAATTGAAATTAGAAACAAATCATGTGGCATTGTTACTTACCGATCCCTATGCAGCATTCGATCAATCGGAACCCGATGCGGAAACGGCCGATAGTGATGATTTGCCATCGATGGTGGTGGACATTGATTTGGGTTTGTCGGCTTATGCAAATGCCACTCGTTACTATGATCAAAAACGTAGTGCCGCAGACAAGGAAAATCGTACCATCGAGTCATCGACCAAAGCCTTGAAGAATGCCGAACGAAAAACTCAGGAGCATTTGAAAGAAGTGCGCACCATTTCGAATATTTCCAAGGCACGTAAAGTGTTTTGGTTTGAGAAATTTTATTGGTTCATTAGTACAGAAAATTATTTGGTAATTGGCGGACGAGACCAGCAACAAAATGAATTGATTGTCAAACGATATTTGCGTCCGAATGATATTTACGTGCATGCAGACATACAGGGTGCTTCAAGTGTTGTCATTCGAAATCCGTTTACTGGAAATTCATCCGATCCACAGGCTATCATTCCACCAAAAACACTACTCGAAGCTGGCGCTATGGCCATTTCGTATTCGGTTGCATGGGATGCGAAGGTAACAACAAGCGCATACTGGGTGCGAGCCGAGCAAGTCAGTAAAACCGCACCAACGGGAGAATATCTTGAGACAGGTACGCTCAACTTTTGATGCAACCACGGGACATTTATTTTAATGGATATTTCTTCCACTTTATTATATAGGTAGTTTCATGATAAGAGGAAAAAAGAATTTCTTACCGCCATGCCATTTGATTTTGGGTCTTAGCATTATGTTCAAATTGGAAGAGTCATCGATAGCACGACATGCTGGCGAGCGCTGTGTACGAACCTTTGACACCGATGCACAAAAAAAGTATGAACTTAATGCTGAAAGTGTACAAAGTGAAGATGTTGCAGAAGCGCAACAATCAGATAAAGAGGATACAGCGGCCGCAAATGAAGACAGTGATAGTTCAGATAGCGATGATGACGCAAACCATTTTCCAGATACTCATATCAAAATTGGCGGCCTAAGTACTCAAGTTAGTCAAATAAGTATTGAATCGAGCAAAACTGCGGAAACGGCTGCTGGCAATGACGATGATGAAGAAGAAGGTGCTATTATCCATGCAGCACCTCAGCAATTACCACGCAAAAATCGTGTCATTCAAAAAGCGAAAGGAAAACATAGCGATTCAAAGAAAAAACAACAACAACAACCACAACAACAGAAAATGGAGAAAAATGATAATGTTGGTGAAAATGAAAAATCGAAGTCGGGTTTTAAACGCGGTCAAAAGAGCAAATTAAAAAAAATCAAAGAAAAATACAAGGATCAAGACGAAGAAGAGAAACAAATGCGAATGGAAATTTTGAAGTCGGCCGGCAACAAGAAGCCCAACGAAACAAAGGAAAAAGAAAACGAAAAAGCCGATTCGGAAAATTCAAAACGAAATCCAATGCACCAAAGCGGCAAAAAACCACAATGGGAGAATAAAAGTGCTGAAGCAGCAGCAGCAGGTGATGTCGAAGCTGGCGATGAAGATGAAAATCTTGGTGATGGCAATGATACTGATTTATTAAACTCGTTGACCGGTTGCCCAGTTGATGAAGACGAATTACTCTTTGCACTGCCCGTTGTCGCACCGTATAATGCATTACACAATTACAAGTAAGTTTTGACATCTTGTGGGTAGAATAAAAAAAATCCGTGAATTGACAAGTAATATGATGTTTTTGAAATGATTTCAGGTACAAAGTTAAAATAACACCGGGCACAGGTACTACTTCATATTTTTAGATTTTTTTATATATTTCTTACTAATCAATTCCAATTGACAGGACGACGAGGTAAAACTTCGAAGACCGCATTCGCAATGTTCTTAAAGGAGAAGCTGTGTTCAAACCAAGAAAAAGATCTTATTAAAGCCATTAAACCGGATGCGGCGGCACGAAACATGCCCGGAAAAGTAAAACTTTCAGCACCACAAATGCAACGCTTACGGAATTAAATTCTATAAATTGTTTCTAACAAATAAAAATTCTTTGTGATTTTCCATTTAATTTTTGTTATCGGTGAAAAAGAATAATAATAATAAAAATCAATCTATTAAATCAGAATTGATGTGCATTTTTATGAAACACTGTACAACTCTTTAACAGTATCAAAATATGTGAAAAAATGTACTATTTTTCGAAAGTATGAAAAAGAAATAAATGATGGGCGTTTATCGATGGAGGCCAACTTTCGTAATATCGTTCTCTCTTTCTGGTTTCCACCAAACGTTTTAAACGTCACACAATTCACGGTGGTGTCAAAAAATCCACTTTGACATTCAATTCGGAACAGATGTCAATATTCTGCTGAGTTTTTGGTTAAATTCACCGCAATTAGACTATTATTTTGTTGATTTGAACATATTTAACGAAAAATTCGTCGAAAAAAAATGCAGTCACTTCTACGTGGGGCCCAAATCGTATTTAAGCATAAAATTAGAGGCTAGTTCAAAATTCATCGTATAACTCGGACATAGTAATAACAAACAAGAAAATTTCTCTACATTTTCAGATGCCAGATTTATATATACCCGTACTTTGTACACAAGAGACGAGCTGGGAGTAGTTCATTTTGAAAAACTTCGTGCAGACGCCTTTAAACAATTTAAAAATCTTGAATCGGCCATAGAATACAAGGAAGGAATTATATCCAACTTTGACAACTATCAACTAGATCAACAAAGAGACAATTTGAAACATTACATTCTTTTAATCGACGGCAAAAAAGATGAATTGAATACATTAAAACGGTTTTTAATTAAATACACCGACAACTTTAATAACAATACGCACCGAGTAAAACCGTTTGTGTTTGGCACACAAATTATGCGATTATTTTATTTCTTAAATTTGCCTGATGAAGCGGTCACGGTACTTAAATGTCTATAATTCAATGCTCGCACTATTTATATGAATTTTTCGTTGTTAGTTATTCCGAGACCCGGATGTGAAGGAATGCTTTCATCAAATGGAGACGTATAAGGTGCTATTGAGTTTGTTGTATGAAAATAAGCGATATGAGGAAGTTATTGATCTGTATAAACAAATAAAACTTCGCTTGGATGCCTTCGAATTGAAGCCGAGTCAAACGGTTGATTGCTTGCTGTTTGCATCTTGTTACTTACAGGTTTTTCATCACCCTTATTGATTACACAATTTTTTTAATTCGAAATTTGATAAATACCCTCTTTTTTTTAGAATACCCCCGAACACTACGAATACACAAGAAAGGTATGGCAAAGCATAAAAGATCTGAAACCATTAAGGCGAACACAATTTCTTCTCGCTGGATTGGCCATCAAGCAAGATGATCCAAACTTTGCTTTGAGTTTAAACGTTTTTTCTTTTTACGTGACGTCAAGATTTATTCGGTTTATCGCCTTCACCAAGCTTGGTCAATTTGAAAAAGCATTTAATATATTAAATCAATCGATTGTTTCATGCAGTCGAGGAACTGACACGCAAAAACCGTGCATTGGGAAAGAAATGGTTTGTTGAAACATTGGTTGAATGGTGTGCCACAATTTTTAACTTTTTATTTTTTAGGTTGAAGATTTACGAAGATCGATAGAAAAGTCGGGGACGGAAGAACAATTAAATAAATTCAATAGAATTTATGATGACTTGAAATCATTTGACTTATTGAGTGATGAAGTGAGTTTGATTTAATCTTTTACCATGCTATATTTATCCAAATAAAATCTCTTTTTTGTTATTGCACAGACATTAGATGAACATTTATGTGCTTCTTTCCCGCCAATGCTGCCAAAAAACCAATTTAAAAAAATGCAACGGAATATAATTAAAGACAATTAAAGAAACAAGATATTATTTACAGTATAGTCAATAAAATAACAACATTCGGCTTTAACTATTTTACAATTTATTTGTTTAAAATCAGATTGCTTTTAGTTTCTTTTCCATCAGCTCTGTTTTTGTACAGAATAAATATATATTTTTTTTATTTTTTTTTATTGTATTTCACTTAATAGTGATAGTGACTAATTAACCTCATTCAGTAGAGTAATGAAAATTTGCACTGAATCAATCCTTACGAAAATCGCTCACTTCATTTTATTTAGGTGGTGAATCGCTGAAAATTATTATTATTATTTTTTAGACATAAGATATATAATGAAGTTGGTTTCTTTTTCGATTTATGGTTGTTTGATCTTTGTAATGTTCTGTACCTTTCGAAACCGGGATTACGATAAGCACCAATCCTACGTTCACGTTCACCCGAAGAAGTAGACGATCCACTGTCATTTAGGCTGACCTTTCGAAATGGTGCAATTAGCAATTCATCCAACCGTGATGATACTTGTTTATAGTTTGGAACAAGTTCCACCAAAGTAGCTCCATCAATCGACTTAACAGTTTCTTTGATAGAAAAAGCTATGGCCGTACATTGGAGAGTTTCTTCACTCTAAAGAGAAACATTTAAAAAAATGATCATCATTGTAATGATTATGCACACAAAGAAAGTTTTTCCCATTTTCTTTTGCTTTACCTACCAACAAATTTAAGATAATATTTTCATCTACAACTGTTCCGATCATAACGAAAGCCTCATCACCCAGTATGTATCGTAAAGAATATTTATCGCTATTTTCATTCCAATTTTTCGGTAAAAAAGTTGATGGTTTTTTCTCGCCTTGCTGAAGAGAAGAATTATATTGAGAATAAAATCTTAAGTAAGAAATATTTCTCATGTGGAAAATACTATAATGACAAATAAAACAATGTAAACTAACCTCAGAATTGGTTACCAAGCAACGAAATCCGACATCTGTTAACATAACATGAGTATAAACAACTATTATGTCTGTTTCGACCTTTATTTGTGGCTTAGCAATATCAAAAGATTGCTCGTAATATGCAGACATTATGTTTCGTATATTGATTTACGTGATTTCCAAATAATATTTCTTTCATGAACTGAAATGAATTGTTTGTTGCTTACACTGATGATAGTTACTTTTTTACTCACCAAGACAAAGCATTTTTGACAGTTAAATTGTCTGCAGACATCGATTGCGCGCGTAAAACTCTCAACATACCCAATGAGCCATTTTCATAAAAATATATGCATACACATGATGCATACAGTATGCATCGCAAAAACACCATATTGCAAATCCTCATTGATCTCATCTATTTTTTTATTTTCGGTATTTCTGTTATTTAAATTATTTGATTTTATTCAATGGTATATTTAAAAATATATCCCATCACAAAAGTGTACAAAATATATTTATTTTGAACCTCTGTGAAAAAATATCCGTTTTTATGTTTGGCTCTAGCTCGAGAAATTAACTAAATGAGAAATATCTCTGGTTTTTGGTATTGAATAGTTTTGTTGTATTTATTATCACTATTTTAATTCACTCAAATCAGAAAAATATCCAACAGTGATCGATTTTATATTTTCGTGCAAAAATTTGTAATTTACGTGTTACTTCATATATGAACAATTTTGAATTTGGGAAATGGGAGATGAAAATTTTCGTTCTTGGTATTGAAGCGATTTAAATTACTTTTTTCTTTTTATCATCATTATTTAAATTCATACGAATCAAAAAAGGAACAAAAATAACTCAATTTTAATAAATATCCGAAGAAACAAAATTAGTTCAAAAGTCGCTCAATATATGAGACATATTGAATTCAGAAATCTACAGATGAAAACTTTTTTTTTTGTATTTAGGTCATTTGAATAGTTTTTTTGTATTCATTGGTACTATTTGAATTTACTCAAATTATAAAACTAGCTGCTGATAGTTCAATTTTATTTTTTTTTTCGAATTATCTTTTATCAACGTATAGTGCAAAGTGCCCATCGAACAAGAATTTTTTTTATGAAAATGCGAATTTGACTAATTTTCCGTAATTTTATGATTTGAGTGAATTTTAATAATGAAAACAAGCATAAATAAAAAGGAAAAAAAATCTAGTGGATTTCCGAATTCAAAATGTCTCATACATTTTATATTCTATGGGAGCGATTTTTCTTATTAAAACTTTAAACTGATTCATTTTTGCTGCGTAAATGGTTTTGTTGTATTCATTGCCATATTTTAAAATATATCCTATCATAAAACTTCGCGACATATATTCATTTAAAAATTTTGCGAAAAAAATTTGATATCGGTTTTGCATTGGAAGAATATTGAAGCCAATAAATGTTTAAGAAATTTTGTCACATGCTAATTTTGCACGGTTCTAATGATTTGATTTTTTTCAATGACATGTTTCAAAATATATCCAATCATAAGACCGTACAAAATTCGTTTATTATTCGTTTAATATGATGCAGAATGTCCTGAATGCAAAGTGCAATGTATTTTTTCATTAAATTTGTAAAATAAACCTATTTTGTACAAAATTATGATTGAATTTTTTTCAAAATGACCCCTTGAATACAATAAAACCATTTGATTCATCAAAATATCGAAAATAAACGAAATTGTGTAAGAGAAGTCGAAATCTATATTATAGTTGATAAGTAGATGAATCCAGTATGCATACCACAATATGCATAATTTATGCACCATATTAATGCGATTGTACCATTACATTGTATGCATATTTTGTGCGAAATATAGCATTACAATGGCTCACTATAGTTTGACAACATTGAACGCATCCAACAAAATCATAATAGAAAATGCATACATCTAATCTACATTTGAATTCGATTCGTTGATTTTGTGCAGGATTTTGTAAAAAAAAATTAATCAATAACAGAAAAAAAAAAAATAATAAGTTTTATTAAATTTATTGCTGTTTACATATTTAAAAAATCTCAACCTGAAATTTCAGTTTCAACTGTTTATCAATGCTAGAAATGCTTTGAATGGATGACAATCATATTCGTATTTCTGTAAATACATTTTGTTTACTTATGCCTGAATAATATTGATGAAAATAAATAAAAACACAATTTATTAGATGTTTGTACAATTTAATTTTTACAATGTGTGTGTGTGTGTGTGTGTGTGTATGTATAGGCATGTAGAGAGAGAGAGAGGTATAGAAAGAGAGGAGCGAGGTGGTAAAAAGCCATGGCCGTACATTGGAGAGTTTCTTCACTCTAAAGAGAAACATTTAAAAAAATGATCATCATTGTATTGATTGGACATTTTTGCATATCATCATTCAATCGAATTAAAACCATCTGAACCAGAACCGCCATTGCAGCAACTTGATGATGTGTATGAATACGCTGCTCACAACACAGGTGAACTAACGTCAATTGAAGTAACACCTGCGTATGGATTTTTAAGTACAGTGAATGCAACGGATTTACCAGATATACAAGTATTCATATTTTATTATAAAAAGAATTCAACGAAATTGAAGGGCTATCTTGGAAGCTATAAAAAGAGTATTGCACAAGCATTAATTAAAGAAAATGAAAATCATGACGTTGCTTATATTGCTGTAAGTAAAGCCCACCCCAAATCGAGAGGATATGTTACGTTAGATAGTCCTTCGCCTTACGATAAACCGATCATTGTTCCCGAATATTTTACAAATGCAGAAGACGTTGAAACATCAATTCGAGGAATAAAACAGCAGATTTCGTTCACAAATACACCTGCATATCAAAAGAATGGAGCCGAATTTATACATATACCAATAGATGAATGTGATCGTTTTGATTTTCAATCGGACGACTATTTTCGGTGCTACATCAAGTATTTCGGAAGCGGCGACAATCATCCAGTCGGGACTAGCAAAATGAGACCAGATTTGGATTCAGATGCTGTTGTTTTATTAAAAATTTGCGACAAGATGATGGTGGGGTGTAAGTCTTTTTAAAAGTCTTTTCTTATAGAGTTGTGTTTTAGGTTGGAAAATGCTAGTTTTAAATCCTTTTTGATCATTTAATGAAAGCATGCACCACAAAAAACGAGATAAAGTGCGTTTCAATTTTTGTTGCAACAATATTGCAAGAACGATTTAAAACTAGCTTCCCTTGTATGCCAAGCTTAAAACTTATTAACCGCCAATAACCTTTCAATAGAATGCCATGGACTATTACTGGAAATGTAAACGCTGCGATAATTATGATTGGAGAAAAAGCAGCCGACATAATAAAGGAGGACCATGGATTCATTCAGAAAAACGATAAATGAATTTATTGCCAATTTGCGTCGTTTTCTTTTGGTGTCCGGAATAAAACAATATTCGATTTAGAAGTTGAAGGAATTTTGCTTAAATGAAATACCCGAAAATTTTTATTTAATCAATTTCAACAATGTTTTACTTTTTAAAATTGTTTATTTCATTCATAGTTGCCTTGTAAAATGTGTCCATCATTTCATAAATAAACACGATCGCAGAACTATAAAACTGAATTTGTGTGAAACCTTAAATGTCTAGCTTCTGAATCTAATGACTAATGTCCTATGACAAATTTGTTGTATAAGAAGTATCCTGTTATTATGTTATTGAATATAAAGGGGGAAATGATGCTGGACAATGCTATAAGTATTACACGTTTTGAAATCTTAATTTATTAATCTAAAATTAATCTTGAATATCAAAATCTGAAAAATAATTCTTTAACTTCATTCCATATTTATATATGTACTTCAACTTAAAAATACTGATCATTTGATTTTATTAGTGTGTAAAATTTTTTTTTAGATAAAAATGCGTAGAGGCTCGAACTTGATTTGGTTTGTTTAATTTTACTTTTTGGTATGTACATTTGAAGAAAGTATGCGATTTTGACAATCTAATGAGTCCTTGACGAAAAGCATGCATTATTTGGAGTCATTGCTTTTCTTGTCCAAATAATTTGACTTATTCTTGTTGCTTTCGATATGTTGACTATTCTTGATGTTAAATGAAAATTTACATTTTATATAACTTAGATTAATCTGTTTTGCAGATCTAATTAAAATATTGACTTTGCTGAGTTCACTTGAATTTTTCACAAAAAAAAAACGTCCCATATCTACCACCTACTAGTTGTATCGCAAAAAAGGCCGACACACCGGAGGACCACGAAAGCCATCAGTTACATCCTGATCATCTCCATCACTATTCGGGGCTGAATCGTCGATGTACGGGCCATTAATCACATTTAAATATTCTTGGTTCGAAGACGTAGTTAAAATATTATCGAGGTAAAGAACGATTTCAGTGAATGTAGGTCGCAATCTTGGCTTCCAGTTCCAGCATTGCCGCATTAATTTATATCTGAAAGAACGCAAATCACAAATCATATAGTTTTTTAAATTGAATGAAAACCATAAAACACTTACATATCAATATGACAATGTGCTGGTTTATCCATACGTATTCCTCTCTCTAGGTATTCCAATAGTTCCACCGAGGAATACAGAATATTTGGATATGGTTGTTCACCGAAGGTCATGATCTCCCAAAGCAATATTCCATATGACCACCTATATTGAAAATTGAAAAAGAGAATTGAAATTGTGGTTGTTGCTTTGATTCGGTCACGTTTCGAATTAATTTACGTACACATCACTTTGACTGTCATAGAATCTGTCTTTCAAAGATTCGGGTGCCATCCACTTGATTGGCAACCTGCCATTGCTACATTTCCTGTAGTAGTCGGTCTCTTGTACATCTCTCGCCAAACCAAAATCGGCTATCTTTACGATATTATTTTCGCAAACTAGCACATTCCGTGCGGCCAAATCACGATGTATGTACTGAAATCATCAAATAAAATATTAAAAATCAATCGCATCGTATCCATTTGAAAAGTTGAATACTTACTCGTCTTGAAGCCAAATATTCCATTCCGCGGGCGACTTGATATGCGAATGATGTTAGCTCCTTTTGTGTCAAAACATGTTGCGAATTGAGCAGATTGTAGTCAGCCATTGCAAGATTTTTCTTCAGGAAATCTTTTAAATTGCCATGCGGTGCATATTCAACGATGACATACAATGGACCCTCTTGACTGCAGCAGCCCAACAAATTGATGACGTTTATATGCTTTCCGATCATTTTCATCACTTCCATTTCACGCACCAAACCGGCTATATCGGAATCGGTATGTCCTTCTTTCACCATTTTCACGGCCACGATTTGTGTTTGTTGTGGTTTCTCCAAGCCATACGCTTCGGCTAAAACGACACGTCCAAATGCACCTTCGCCAAGTGTTGGGCCAAATTTTAAATGATTCCGTGGAAATTCCCAATTCGCGTCGAGCGGAAATTCGTATTCATTCATCAACGATGGATCGTTACAATAGACGGCTGTACGGTGTTTTTCAATTTGAATAACTGGAATTTGAAGTCCGTCCGAACCGTCAACCTCATCTTGATTTGGTTTAACGATAATCACTTTTTTCGTCCATTGATGTACCGTTTCCATGGCACGATGTTTCTCCAATTTTTCCCGTTTTAGTTTCTTAAAACCAATCAGCATGATGAAAATCGCAATGAGAAACAATGCACCCATCGATACTATTATTATGTAGCTCAGCAATGAATTTAGCTTGTGTCCAGCTATTAATCGTTTTCCATCCTCTAATTCTATAAAATCAGTTGCAAAATTAAATCATTTAATCTGGATTTTAATGCGCTCACAAAATGCCATGAAATAATAATTTAAAAAATGAACGAACCGTCAACAACATGTAAATAAGCGCTGGCCGTCGTATGACCCAAACTGTTTGCTGCAATACATGTGTACCATCCTTCGTCGGCGTGTGTGATATTATGAAGTACTAGCTCTTCCGACTTATCTTCATCAACCTAATGTCGAAAATACAACAATAAACTTATCAATTGGAACAAAGACTACATTTTTCGTCCAGATAGAACCATATTAGTGGAAACATGCAATTAATTTTAGTACAGCGAAATTTCAGTTTTTATTGTTTCAAGTCATAAATCAATTAATTCAGTTCGTATACTTCTAGATTTCTACATCCGACGTGCCCTGGCGTCGAACAAATTATAATTATTACTTTTATTAGTGTTATTGTTAAAATGCCTTGCATAACTTAATGAGAGTGTGTTAATCCAAACGATGTTAGTCTTAACGTAAATTAAACCACATAGATAGATCAACCATCACCTCGATAATAGTCGCATTTTTGCTACAATTTTGACAATCAGCGCGAATCCATTGAACGCCGACGTGAGAATGGGAAATAAATTCACATCTGAATTTGTGCGTGGTGTCAACAAGAACGGTAGCATTTTGTAGTATTTCCGATAAAATTGGTTTGTGCTTTACACGATCTAAAAGAACAAACAGAAATATTCAAGTTTCCTCCTTCCACCAGTATAATTTGCCCACTGTGAAACATATACTAAATTTTTTTATCCCAAATTCCATGTATTTTTGGCAAAAATCAATCAAATTAAGAAAATTTCCATCAAAGGTAAAGAGACCCAACAACCAGATTTAGAAATAACTAGAAAAATACCCATCACCATTGACAAATAAAAAAAAATCACATATTCGTTGTACCTCAAGACGAACTGCACTTATTGGCGAAGTAAAATTATCATCGGAATCATTTAACGCATGATATTTAGCCCACGTAATATGTGCGGCTACTTCTTTTTGGATAACTGGACATTTAAATGTAATATTTGCGTTAACAAGTGCCGTTTCATTGACGAGCTGCTCTTTTATAATGTACGGCGAACCCGGAAAACGATCTACATGCGATTTAAATTTACGCAATCAGATTTTTGAAACATGAAAATGGTATTCAATATGAATGAACGAAATAAATTGTTTAACAAATCATAATAAGAGATTGAGAAACAAAGCGGCTTCTTTGTAAAATAAACTGAAATAGAAACTTATTGGATGGAATTGTTTCGTTGTAATTTACCTTCCACAAGAAGTTTAGTTGTGTGGTCAATACATCCGTGTATGTTGCACAACTTGCAAGTGTAGTCTCCGGCATCTTTTGTTGTCAAATCTTCTAATATAATGGCCCATTTTTTATATTGAACCGTGCCCATGTGCCTCACGATTTCTTCGTTATTTTTGGTCCATGTTATGTTCGGTGTTGGATTTCCTGCGCAAGAAAATTAAAATATTGATAAAATTAACGATTCATTGCAACAAAATAACGTTGTATTATTTGCTCACCGGCTCCTATACACCGTATTCTTGCCATGTTTCCAGATGGTTTTGGTAAAAATTTCAACAGTGTGGTTTTTTTCGGAAAATATGGAGCTTCACCATTTTTTAAATCAACATCCATTTCCGAGAACTCATCATTTTCTTGGTTTTCATTGTGCAACTCCTCCTGAAAATATAAGCGATTATTTTAATATTTGGTCAATTGTGCCTAGGCTGATTTCTATCTTACCATATCAGATTCGGTTGTATCAAAACCGGTAGTAAATTGATTTTCATCGTCATTTGATTCTTTTGAATGAGTTTCATCACTGTTTGATTGTGTATTTTGTGTAAATGTCGAAACCACCGCCAATTGTCCGTTTGATTCTTTTGTAAGATTTTGTTTCATCGCTATCGAACGACTACGGATTTGACTGTAGATTTCATCAGGTTTTGACAACAATTCATCTAAAGAAAAAAATCAAAAATATATATATGGAGAGAGAGAGGAAAATGGGAGAGAATCATTTATACAAACCATTTCGGGTTGCTTCAGCTGGTACGAGGTCATGAATATCGTGATCTAAAATTAAAAGATAAATTAAATGAAACCGCTTTTAATGACTGTTTATGCATTGTTTGTGTGCATTACCTTGTACATCAAGCTGAGTAGCATGCTCAATGCATCCATGTACATTACATATTTTGCAAACATACACCCCTGTATCGCTGAGCGTTAATTCATTTAAAAAGATGGCCCATTTATTTTTCATTTTCGTTAGTTTTGCTGTATTTTTTATCTCAATTGAATCTTTGGTCCATGTTATATTCGGCGTGGGATTTCCTTTTGATAATAAACAAACTCATTAAAATTTCATTCACATTACCAAAAAAAGTTGATGGTTTACCTGCAGCCGGGCATCGAAATTTCACCGTGCCGGTGATATTTCTTCGAATATGCGTACTGAGAATGGCGGGATTCGTGAAGTACGGCAGTTCACCTTTATTTTGATATTGTGTTTGAATCACATTTCCATCGTTTTCATTATTTGTTGACCCATTTGTATAGAAATCCGTACCATTGCCATCTTTATAATCATAATTTAATGTGAAAATTATAAAAAAGAAGAAATAAGTTGAGTTGAATTAAAGTTTTTTTTTTTCATAAATGAAATGCCATTCATTAAACGCAGCAACAGCAAAGGAATATAAAATATTGTGTTTGTTTATCAGATACCTGTGTATGAAAAAATGAACACAGAACATACCTGTTGACGAGCTTATGAATTCCATGGATGTTGTTGGCATCGCATGGGATGGTTGTTGAATGCGACCAAGCTTGGCACATGATAATAAATTAAAAATTGACGATAAAACAATGACAATGGAAACATTCATATTTGCCGTTTTCATATCGTTGAATCGCTATCTCTATGCGTGTGTGTGTATATATACTTAATTGTACGTGGATCGTTCACTTAATATGATTTTTATATATTCGTTCATTCAATTTATTTATTCAAGTCATCATTCGGTGAGCCGCATTACGCAAATCATATTACAAAAAAAGAGAGAATGCGATCACACTGAAGAATTTTAAATGCGCGACTGAGGTAAGCGTGACGTGAAAAAGATCTGAATGGAAGTGAAATACAAATTCACATCAAAGTTATTTGTTCATCGGTTACCATTGATATAAACAACAATACTTACATTTGCTTGTTTTTTCCCCAGTAATTAATTAAGGCGATTCATTTACGCGCACCAACCAATCAGCTTCTTTTTCTTCCGTAATGTCAACATAATCTAAATAAAGCAAAACAAATGTAAACGGTAAAGTACTCGTATGTATTTTAAGGTATGGGGAAAACATTTTTTTGTGCTCGGCAATAAAAATTGATTTCGTTCTTTTGTGGTTCGAGGCGAAAAGTGTTTATTTGTAAATAAATCTTTCTTGTTCAACATTCTTTCTCCCTCTCTCTGTCTCTTTCCATTTCTCTCTTTTTCATTGTTTCCCAATTCGCTCGCTCGTTAAGACCAGCAAATAAGAAAATCAAGTGGTTGCAAATCTACTGTAGTAACATCAAAGTAATACGAAATGAGCGCAGATATAGCGAATTTATTTTTAGATTTTCAACCATTCTGATAAACTTGCGTTCTTCACTCTCTTCCTCGTTCTCTTTCTTCTTTGCTTTTTTTCTTCTCATACAACTGCCACATACAAGCAACAACATATAAATTATCATCAAAACCGAAACTGATTTAAAATGCCAATCTGAACTCATCGATAAACTATAGCATAGTTACTGTATGGCCTTTGATCATTTCAAACAAAATTATGAATTCTGTTCGTAGAACATTTCTTTGCTTGACATTTCAAACGGTTAACTTTCCAAAATGGTTAAGACATGAAACCGTCTCGCATCCCGAAGACTTTGGCGCGATACTTTTTACAACTCGTAATTGAAATGAACAAAATGCATACAGGAAATAACGTTTGTCATTTTAAAATGTTCAACATAACATAAGAGGAAAGTATGATGAAAAACAAATGTGGTAAACGGAAAGAATAAAATGGAAACAATAGAGTAAAACGGATCGCATATATTATGTCAATCGGATATTATATTCGATGTTGATAAATTTGTTGGTGTTGCATTTTGAATTCTAATTCATCGGTGGCATCGCACTCATTCTCAGTGTGTGTGAATAAAATGACTTCTATTTTTTTGCCGTCGATTTTGAATTTAAAAACAGAAAATTTCAACGAGAAAAAAAATGTGGTCTTAAGGGAATCTCGAACATTTTTGGATCTCAAAAAAATGGTTGAATTTAAAGAAGATTTGATAGTTGAAGACATATGCTGGCTGCTGCGATTCATTTGACTTGACTGACTGCGTGTCCGCTTCTAGCATGTCGTTTTTTTGTTATTTGAATTTTGTGTGTCGCATATTGAATCACTTGAGCACAAATATTTTCACATGTCGGGATCGAATATCGAGATTTATGGTGAACACTGTGCTGAATGCACGAGTAAGCGCACGTTTGAGTTGGTGCCGGATTAAGAAGATACTGCATCAGATGAACTGAGCTGAATTTAAAAAAAAAACTTTAACGCAGAGAGAGAGAAAGAGAGAAAAGGGAAAGGTTGAAAGAGAATGAAAAACAGACACCCGATCTCAAATCGTATGTCACACCGGAAGCGTTGTTTTGTGCTGCACCAAGAACGTTGAAAGAAAAACAAAAACATATTACGTGAAGAAAATATTTGAGCGGCACGGGAACACAGTGAAAAAGACTTGTGTCTCAAATGTGAAATAAAAAAAAGATTCAATTTTTTTTGATGATATTTTTAACAAAATCGTGAAAGGTGCATGAAATCCATTGGACTCATTTGTATTTATAGCTATCTGGCTTTCAAATGTGCATCATCGTCGATTTGAAAGAAATAATATAAATATCGAATTGTCAGACAGTCATTTGTTGTGCCAACACCGAGAGCACAAAATGGATCGTTTATCTTGTTAATTTTTCCCCAGCGTATGCGCGTCTAAGACAAACGTCTTTGACACAAAGGTCAGTGTGTCTGTGAATCGCACAAGACCGAGACTGCACAATTTTCATTAATAAATGTATTAAATAATGATTGGAATTCGAAAAATTGCCATGGCCACAAAACGATTTTATCTTAAAATTGATGATGTGATGATGTAAAGGCACTTTGCAACAATAAATTTCTTTCAATATTTTTCTTTTATTTCTCTCTCTCGCTCTCTCTCTCTCTCTCTCTCTCTCTCTCTCTCTCTAGATTCATATAATGCAAACGGCATCGTATTTGTTTCATCTGGTGCCATTCATTTCAGTTTTGTGTGCGTGTTTTTTTTCGTTGGGATTTGTTAAAAACACATTTTCTTCGCTCGCACGAATGACTTTATTCTTTTTGGCTTTTTGAATTCACTTGTTCGTATTTTCTTCGGATCGAATGCATTCCAACATCTGGTTGTGTTTGACGGCAAATTGCCTCGTCCTAATTCGTTCGGTACATTTCGAGTAAAAACATTCAACTGCGTTCCATAAACAAAGAACAAACTCATAAAATTATGCAGAAAATAGGCATATGTATACGATCTGACTAATCCATTAAAAAAATGATGTTCCTCCAGTTTTTAGTCAATGATTTTTCTCATTTTCAATGTAGTTTCTACAGCAAAATTTTCCATTGAGATTTATGCTGAGCTCTTGATTCATGCAGTTTATCCTTCCGCTTCGTTTACGCTTTGGTTCGGAACATTTTGCCCGAGAATATTTATTATTGTTTGGTTTGAGTTGCATTTTCCTTTGCTCTTTTGTTTTCCATTCAGATGAGACAAGTGCCGATTTATTTATACACTGTCTGCATGATTGCAAATGTCGACATGAAAATGAACCGGCAAGATGAAGATTGGGAAAAATGATATTATTATTTTTTCATTCAAGAAAAAACTTAAAATGGGAATGTGTTTTACTTTTCCGCACACATCGAGTGTGTAAGAGGAAAGTATTGCAATGGGTCAAAATTTACAACATCTGAAAAACATCTTTTCTGGACGTTTTCGAGGCCAGAGAACCCGAATCAAGCCATTTTGAGCATGGTTGTTGTGGGTCTGTTCCACGTTGTACGTTGTACGTTGTCCGCCGTACGCAAAATTTGTTAACACAATAACTCTCCCCCCAAAAAAGTTATTTAAAATCTGACTATACAGGATGATTGGGGGTCGCGAGGAATAGATATCATTAGATTTTGAGCGACATTGGTTGATGGAAAATAATTTCATGCATGTAGTGATGATACCTATGAAAAAGAGTCAAATTTCCGTCCAAAAGTCCGTAGCTTTAAACACTCAAAAATATGTAATGGGGGATATTTTGGCACGAGAAAACCGAATTCGAAGTTAGTTTTGTGAAACAATCAAGTTTTACCAGAGTTTCTTTGAAAAAATCACAAAAAAATGAATTTTTGTATGGGAGCCATGCCTGTATGTTACCTTAATGACGTGAAAATTTGCACAGACTATTTATTCACACAAAAAAATAACATTCCGAAAGTTTGAAGAAATTTCAATCAAAATTGGGGGTACCTCCCATACAAAATCGTAATTTTTGAGCGAAAAATCCAAAATTTTGTATGGAAGGTACTCTTAATTTTCATTAAAATTTCTCAAAACTCTTCGAATGCTATTTTTTGTGAAATAAATAACCTGCGCAAAGTTTCACGTCCTTACGATACCACACAGGCATGATTCCCATACAAAAGTCCAAATTTTATGTGACTTTTATATGAAAAGTGTTTGAAAAATTATTTTTATGGCAAAAATAACGTCAAATATATTTTTATAGTATTTTATTAGAAAATAGAATGCTTTGCGAGTACTTCTGCTATTAAATTAAAGAATATTTCGTTGCCAAAGTTGAGACATATTTTTTTGCCTCGAATTTTACGCCGCTTGAATGGCTTGAAAAATCGAACAAATGTTATTTTGAACTTGCTTAATAAAATACACATCCACCACCGTGCGGAAAAGTTACTCCCGTAAGAATTTTTATTTTTGTTTTGTTTCAACAAATACAAAGAAAAACTGAAAAAAGAAGAAGAGCCATCCAACCTCTTCTAATTTCAACGTAAATGATCGAAATTACCAAAGTTCGATAAAATTTGTTCGGAATTCGCTGAAATTCTTCAGCATCAATTCGGAAAATTTGAAAAACAATTTAAAAATAAATGAGTGTGAATTTTGGCATTAAGTTACTTGAACGAAGTGTATGTATAGAATGTATGATGCGCGCATACAAGACATGCTGATTTTAGCCGTTTGTTTGTTTTTTCTCTTCGGTTGCTGTTTGATGTGCGATATGCGATGCCAATTTAAATTTAGAATTGTTTTAAACGTACAAACATCGTCGATACAGCTGCTTTTTCCGTTTAGTAGTTTCCGACGAATAAACGCAGAGTGAAATGAAAAGTGATTGAACTTATTTGCGTTCTACTGTCAAAAAAATATATATGAAATATTCGTTTTGTGAAATAAGTAGCAGTCGCAATAGCAAACAGCATTAACAAAACACAGCCATGAAATCGATTCTATTTAATTCGTTGTTGCGTTACATCGTGACTAAAGTTCAGAACATTTTGGCCAGTTAAGCTGAGCGTCTAGGAAGTTGTTCGATTTTGTGAAAAAGAGAGAGAAAATCACTTGTGCAACGAATGTGGCCACAAATCGTATTCATTGTGTCGCGTTTATACTCAAAAAGCTGGCTTCTTACACATATAATCATCTTAAATCGTGAATGACACAAAATACTTAAACAAAATACCATATTTTACTTACTGGTCGGTTTAAATCAATTGTCTTCAATGTAGTTAAATGCGTGTCTTTTTTTTCCACTTTTTGTCTCTCTTTCTATCTCGTTTGCATTTGAAAGATCCAATTGTAGGATTTGATTAACTTATATTTTGATCACTGTGCACACATAACGATACACTGATGCCTCCGTTTCTTCTACTCTCCCGTGCTCTCTGTCGCTCTCTCGTTTTGTCGTTCACAATTTTATTTAATCACCGTTTAAAATGTAAATGCATGACAATCGTGCCAGCACTTTATCGTATTGGAATCCACACAGAAAAATCTCGGCCTAAATGCGACTCAATATGGACACAGTTATTTTCACAGATTCACATTAAATTACATGATTTGTTTCACTTTGTATGACTGCCAAACTGAAAAGAAACACGAACCATATACACAAATACAATATGAATGAATACGGAGCACTGTCTTTACATACACATTTCATGAAAACACACAATGAATTTTATGCTACCATTTGAAATGATTTTCTTTCATAGTAACAGAGACGACTTTTTGTTTGATCGCTGGATTCAATTTACTAACGAAAATTCCACAAGTTTTTCTAATACATTGATTTGGTTTTTCTCTTCAGCCAAGCCGTTTTCTACGTCAAAAAAACACTTCACTCCATTCGTTGATTAAGATGTTCCAAATTCTAATTGTTGCAATGATTTTGTTTTATTGTCACATACACTGAAATGCACTGCCACAATTTATTGGATGTTTTTTTTTTGAAGGGGAGCGCGAATGTAGCTGAGATCACTTCTATTTCATAAACAAACCGATTTAGAATTTAAAAACATTTCACAATGATTTATTTTTTTAATAATTTTGATGCCTTTTTTCCATTAACCTTTCACTGTTTGTTTATATTTTTAATTTTTGTTCGATAAAAGCACGCGTAAATCAATTTCAACACATTAGCATTCACTGCGATTTGGATGAAGTCATGTTTTTTCTTCACAATTTATTTTTTGGTGATGATCGCAACTTTCCAATTGAAAAATTGTTCTTCAATACAGAGTCGTTTTATTTTTTTTAGTTCAATTCACTTTGTAATTTTTTTTCACTATATTTACGAACATTCAACGGTCGAAAAAATCTGCGTTTACAACTTTTCCTCGAACTGGCGAAAAAAAGAGAGTTTCGTGTTAACTAACATGCATTCGGATAAATACTAAAATAAGTTTGTATGTACTGAGTAAGCAGTGCCTGTGGCTTGCCGTTTATATCAATGAAACGTATACATCGCAAAGAATAAGACAAACACATTTTGGAGACAGAAGCATACCCACACAAATACACATATAATCCAATAATGCGCATGTCAAGCATACAAAAAACTGTGTGTATCGGTCGTCTTTCGAGTCGATGTAATGCGTTCGCGCGTACTACCTAGAGAGGATCACACATGTTTGTACGCAAATGGCATAGAATCAGAGAAACGAAAGAAAGAATGAAAACACATTAAAGGAGCCCAAACAACTTATACAAATATACTCGAAGCAATTGCACAAGAAAACAGAACACAAACGCTGCACTTGGTTGCACATATTGTTTTTGTATCTTCTGTTTTTAAATATATGTGTTTGTTTCATAAATCGAATCATTTTAAATTATTGGTTTTTGGAAAAAATATTTTCAGATTATGGACAATGGATTTGTTACAGTTCATCTTACCGTTAGATGGATTGAAATTCGTTCTGCAAAATGTATTTAACTCGCAATAATAATTTATTCTGTATGAGAGATGAATTTTTATTAGCGAATAAGAGAAACTACGCATGAAAAGTCTGTACATTGTTATTATCTCCGAAGCATTTGCAGAACAGCAATGTGAGTTTGCGCACAACGCGCACTTTATTACGTTTCAAATGACTGATTATGACTTTCTTGTGAATGCATCCATGAGCATCGCTGTCTTCGTCGTAGTCTTCATCGTCGTTGCCGTCATTGGCGGCGGCACTCACTGTGAGGAACAGAATAATGTGATGTTTATATATTCAAATATATACGTATATTAACTATGAAGACTTTAAACCGAACTGAAATGCATCTACAATGACAATGGATTGCGCACAAGTAACTTACGCCCCAGAAACTGTCTGTCTGCTGCCTTTTTATTTAATGGTAAAGAGAGACTAGTTTATGATCGAGTCGCACAAATAAATATTAAAACAACCATTTTACTAATCATTGACTCTAGTTGATATTGGTTTTGTTTAAAAAACAAAAACGATAAAAGTTGCATCAAGCGTTCGTGTTCTATGTTTATCATGTGTTGCATACTGTGTGGTTCTTTCGTCGCTGCACTTTTATTTTGAATATGTACAGAGTACTGCATTGATTTTTATTTTGACAACTGAAATTATTTGATCAGCTATTGTTCTGCATTTCGTTCGCAGTTGTAGTGCAACGAACGAATGAAAAAAAAACTGCTACACACATGGTTGAAACATTTTGTTTTTTGCTCACCGCATGCTGTGTGTGTCGATCGAGAATGTAAATTAACATATTCTTCATTGCAAACGAAATGTTGAGACGGTTCAGCCATGAACTTTTTCGTATTTTTTTTGTTTGTGATTATTCTCAAATAGGCATACGTTGTCTGCATGAATCAAGTGTCTGTTTAAAATATAGCATTTGTTTGGAACCAATGTCTTGGTCATTGAAGTCCTCATGTGTTTTCATTTACAAAAAAAATATGTTCGACTGTGTCACCAAAAATTTCTGTATACAGTTACACTCGAGAAAAAAAATTGGCGGCAAAAATGAGTTAGGACCAACAAAAAAAGTGCTAAGAAGAAGAAAAACAATCAAGAAACAAAAACGGACGGCAAAAAATCGGCGCATTAAATTCGAAATTGGTTTCAGTCTGAAAATGGGTCTTAACACAAAATTTATGGAAAGACTTTTTTCAACAGATTTTGCTCCATAAAACTGAAGTTTTCAGACGAAAAACACACATGTGCGTCTCATTTCTTTGGCGTGTAATATGACTAAATTACAATACAGTTTTTGGACTAATGATGTTTTGGCAAAAGAAAAATAACTTCGATTATTATGGTGTGCCTGTTTATTTATTACGAAGAGATGAGAATGTTGAGAGGAAGAAAATGTCGAAAGTCATACGATATCGATCTATGATGTTACATATGACCTTAAAACTTCCACTAGTTTCCGTTCCTCGGTTCGACTAAATTAAATATGAATGGCTGATAAATTGAATGATTGTTAAATGGAATTCATTTATTTATTAATTACACAACGAGAGCCGGGCGGCTTTCAATCTCACATTTGCAACATCAAAATGCATAAAATGAAATTGTATTAATCGAGCTTCAAGACATCATTTATCTCGTGAAGAGAAAGTAAGATGAGCATAAAGACAAGAAGGAGATACATCGGATACGAGTTACCACAGCTACAGAATATTCTATTCTTGGAACGAAAGATGATGATACAACGCGTTCTTTTGTACATTACCGTAAGCATTAATATCTTTTTTTTGTACGGCAATGTAATATTCGCTGTTGACTGATGATAAAAATGAAATCTAATATTTTTCTACCATGAATTCTCTTTCTTTCCACTCTCTCTCTCTCTGGTGGAGAAATAGAGAGGGAATATGAACAAGAATAACCACTTCCGTTTTATTATATTTATTCGTTTGGAGGTGTGAAACGATAAGCAAAAGCATTTAATCACATCAAATGATTTGTTTGACAATCTGTTAAGAACACAAGCGTGTCCGTTTTTATGTGCCGGTTGCAGAATCAAAACGCCACTCGAGTAAACATTCAGCACTGGATTGTGGAGTAGAAGTAGAAATTAAAAAGGAGCACGGTCATAAATGCAGTTTATCCACTACAAAAGCAGAAAAAAAAACAGTATTATTAGTACTGCTGCTGCTGCTGCTGTTTGTTTATCAAATGTGATACACATGTTTTGTTCACTTTTCTGTCTAATTATAATTTGAACATGTTCCGATGCATTCCTGCTAAACGATGCCGCACTGTATCCATAAATATATTAAGAATTATACACAGCAGCCACGAAATGAATGAAATTCTTTCTGGTTTATCATTCATCTTTTCTTCCGTTTGCCTCATGCCGTTTTTATACGTTTATACTTTCCGTTTTGTTCCTTTCTTCGGTGTCTTTTGGTACATATAAATAAAACTGTATGGTTCTCGTTAGGAACTCGAAATCGAATCTTGTCGAGAGAAAAAAAAACAACAACAACAACATATATCCGTTTTATCTTATTTTTGAATGTGGTTTATTATAGTTTTAGCGACGAAGAATTTAAGTGGTTGCTGAAATGATGTGTACTTACATATTCTAGATATTTAAACTTGATATGGGGTGGTTCATATAAAATTAAATTTAATTCCATTGAAGTTGATGAACGACATACTTTCATTTAAATTCATAGCACACAAAAAAACGAGCAAAATATACAAAAAAATCGATATTTTGGCATAAAATCCATTCCTTTATGTATGAATCCAATTTCGAGCCATTGGCCTTTGTCTTGACTGAGTCCCTAAGTGTAAAGATATGCACATTCGGATTGCTTTACCCTGGATTACCATTGAGAATACAAAGACGTTGTTTTGCCCCCGATTGACAGCGGTTATTTATTGATGCTTGCTTCTTGAATTATGTGTTGGTGCGTGTGCACCATAACTAAATTTTATAACACTTCCGGATCATTTTTTTCATGTAAAGCTGTTTGAACATTTTCAAATTGCGTTAGTTAAACACAAAAACACATTTTGGCTCGTGCCTTTAGTCTAATAAAGTGCCTGGAATATATTCAATAAATTTTCATAAAGTAGATGTTTATAGTCCAAAAGGTGGCTATAATAAGTTTTCATTTGATTTTGCACAAAAGTATTCTTCCATTCGGAAACCCTTTGAAATACAGAAATATACATGCACAACTTTTGCGAAAAACGTGAAATCTTTTTTTTTTCTAATCAAAATTATTCTTAATATTTCGAAAATGCACGCACATTGAACTTTAATTTTGTGAATTCAAGTAGTGTATACTCGGAATCAGCGTCACCAAGTCAATTTGAATATTTAAGCGAGTAATAAATTAAAAAATTGACGATAAAGCAATGCCCATTGTCACATTCATATTTTTTAGTAACTCATGCAATATTAAATTCATATCCTCTGTTGCGAGCCACTGAGTGTGTGTTTTAAAACCGGTCTTGCTCTCTCTCTCTCTCTCTCTCTCTCTCTCTCTCTCTCTCTTGATTCGTCATTATTATTATTTACATGTTGGTCATCGTAACTCCAAGTGTTTTCGTTGTATGAATGCAAAACAATAGCGATATAATAAAAACTATTAAATGTTTTATGCCCTTGTTGGTAAATATTTTATCTTAAAAAAATTTGTTTTGACAAAATTGGTATATTATTCAAGTCACAATCGCTTGCCAATCGCTCCCCGTATCACGCAAATAACATTAGAATATAAAAAAGGTGATTGAATTTAATATATGACTTTGAGCAAACGTTGCTTGTGCAAACATATCAGCACAACACATCTAGTGGTGGCTTCTGGAATTTGGCAAATTAAAAACACTTTATTTTTACATATTCTCTTCAATATTCTACCAAAATATATCATGACCGGTTTCTATTCGAATACAACGGTAATTAAAAAAAGGAAAAACACATGTAAACAAAGTGACTACCATTACAAAATAACATTGCTTTACATTATACTACCGATGCGTATATTATATGTTTATAAGCAATAAAGTGGTTCACAGTAGCTGAACTTCACTGAGCTCCCGAAAGAGTTTCATCAAAACTATTTTTAGACTTTCAACCATCATTCACTCTGAAAACGTTTCATATTAACAAGATGAAAACATTGCCAATGCTAAAAATATTGGTGCTTAATGTTAAAGTATCATTTATCGTGTGAGAAAAAAAATGCTCGAGTGAATTGAAACGTCGTAGAAAGAGAAAGAAAAAATGAATTTCTGAAGTTTTAATCATTTTTTTACTCACAACACAGGGTTATACATATGAGATTATACTAAAAGATTATTATAGTTAAGAGAGTCCTCAAGATAAATGTATTCGAGAAAAAAATTTACCACAAATATTAAGTTTCAGCTGTGTATTG